TTCAAATTTATTATCTTTAAAAATGATCTTATTCATTGCTACCATTACCTTCCATTTGTTTTCTTTCTCCAATATTTTTGTTAAAGCTGCCACCATCTTCTTAGAAATCTAAGTTAGAAACCTTGACTCATCCTTGTCAGTTGCCATTTCTTGTTGATGTGTTTCTGTTGCGTTTTTTGCAAGCTTTCCTTCCGATCCCTCCCCTCATTGGACATTTGGATTTTCTTGTTGGCAGGTTTTTGAAACTTACTTAATCCTTATCTGTAAAATGTGGTTAAGGGGCGCCTGGGTGGCTCAGTGGTTAAGCGTCTGCCTTCGGCTCGGGCCATGATCCCAGGGTCCCGGGATCGAGCCCTGCATCGGGCTCCCCGCTCAGCGGGAAGCCTGCTTCTCCCTCTCCCACTTCCCCTGCTTGTGTTCCCTCTCTCGCTGTCTCTGTCTCTGTCAAATAAATAAATAAAATCTTTAAAAAAAAAAAAACTTTCCTAGCGGAGTTGTAAGAATTTGAGAGAAAACATTGTGAAGCACACAGTCTGGCATACATGTAGTGCTTGATAAATAGTAGCTCTTGTTATTCTTATGTCTTTTCATTGGTCATGTTGCATGTAGACTCTTTGGTCCCTTCTCATACACATAGACCAGCTCGTACGCTGCTGCTGTCAAAGTCTCCGTGTTGCCAAATTTGATGGCCATTACTCTGCTCGCCTCTCATTGGTCAGTTGATAGTTTCCTCTTTCTGAACTACTTTCCTTACTTGACTTCGAGGACATCACTTTCTTGCTTCTCCTTTTCATTGATTTGCTGCTGATTTCCCAATTTTCTTTTAAATTGTGGCCTGCTCAACTGCCTCAGGGCTCAGTCTTTGGTCCTAAACCCTTCTCCTCCTACACTGGCTTTGCTCTATGATCTTGTCTAGTCCCATGCTTTAAATACCACATTTATTCAGTTTTATAGCTACTTAAAATCTCCCCTAAGATGTCTAATAGGCACCTTAAATTTGACATGTCCAAACCGAATACTTGGTTTCTTTACCCCGAGACAAAACCATTCTTCCCACAGTATTGTCCCAGTAAATGATAGCTCTTTTATGCACAGTGCTCAGGAAGAAGCCTGGTGGTGTCCTTGATTCTTCTCTCTCATCTTCCTTCTAGTCCATCAGTCAATCCTGTATGGTCCTAAAGTATATTCAGAATCTGACCACTTCTTACTATTTCCATCACTGTCTCCCTTATCCAAACCACCATAATCTCTTGTCCCTATTAATACAATATGCTTTAACTCCCTGCTTTAATCCTTACTTCTTAACACTGCTGCTCAGTACCTTCCCATTCCAAGTTACAGCCAAACTCCTTACTAATGGCCCAGAGGCTTAATGGGGATCTGCCCCTGCTACCTCTCTGACCTTTTTTTATTGGTCAGGGTTCCAACAGGAAACCGATGGCATACTCAAGGTAGGATAATTTGAGGATTTATTTTCAAAGGAACTATTGGTGGAAGTATGGGTATAGAGGTATCATAAAAGCACAATGAAATAGGGCTGGTATTAGAAGACAGGAGGGGAGGGAATGGTGGTCACTGGAGTTTGCAGAGAAGGTGAGTAGAGAGGGCCACCTTGAGAGAAGAGGTGATTTTGACATGAGGGACACAGTCAGTCTGAGATGAGACATTCATCTCTCCCTTTGGCCTCCTACTGTGGTTTCCATAGGCCTGTATTAGTTTCCTATGACCATTTTATTCTTAGGTGTAATAAATAACCACAAAGTTGGTAGCTTAAAATAACACACATTTATACTCTAACAGTTCTGGAGGCCAGCAGTTTGAAATGAGTTTTGCTGAGCCAAATTCAAGGTGGGAGCAGGACCACATTACCCCTGCAGGGTCTAGGGGAGAATCCATTCCCTTGCCTTTTCCTGCTTCTGCAGCTGCTTGCCTTGGCTTGTGGCCCCTTCTTCCATCTTCAGAGCCACCACCATAGCATCTTGCTCCATTGTCCTTTTGTCTTCTGCTGTCAAGTCTGCCTCCCCCTTGTAAGGACACTGTGATTGCATTTAGGGCTCACCTGAACAACCCAGGAAAATCCCATCTCGAGGCCCTTAATCATATCTGCAAAGTCACTATACGATATAAGGTGACATTTATAGTCTCCGGAGATTAGGGCCTACTTATTTGGGGGGCTTTTCGTTTACCACAGGCCAAACCCATGTAGAAGCCAGAGGGCACAGCAGCCTGTTGATGTGGCCCCCATGGATCAGCCTTGGAATGGCGAGTGGAATGTGGCCAGCCCTCCTGTGCCTTTTCCTGCCCCTCCCCCATGCTCAGGCTGCCCCAGCTACAGGGGCTTTCTGGCTTTCTCCTTGAACTAAGCACATTCCTGATTCAGGGCCTTTGCATTTTTTTGGTTTATTGTCCCCACTAGAATGTAAGTTCCATGAAACAGAATTTTTTGCATTTTTTGCTTCATCTTCCTCAGCATCTAGGACAGGGATGAGCTCATAATAAACATTGTTGATTCAGTAATGTTAATGAAGGAATGAAGTATTGTCAGTCCTCCTGCTCAAAAATAACTAAGGGATGGGCGCCTGGGTGGCTCAGTTGGTTAAGCGACTGCCTTCGGCTCAGGTCATGATCCTGGAGTCCCTGGATCGAGTCCCGCATCGGGCTCCCTGCTCAGCAGGGAGTCTGCTTCTCCCTCTGGCCCTCCCCCCTCTCATGTGCTCTCTCTCATTCTCTCTCTCTCTCAAATAAATAAATAAAATCTTTAAAAAAAAAAAATAACTAAGGGATAATGTCTTTCTCGGGCCCACAGTTTCCTTTTTCCGTAATCTTCCCCTGCCTTCATCTCCCACCCTTCCTCCCTATCACAGATGTGCTTCAGTCACACCGATTACTCATTTTCCCAAAGACCACAAAACATTCTTTCTGCCTGAAATGATTTACTTGTATGCCACCTGTATCTGCCCAGCTCTACTTGTTCTTTCAATCCCGGTGAGAACGTCTCCATGAGGTGACCTCGATTCTTGCCAACCGAGGGGATCTTTTCCTTGAGTTCAGGTGGAACTCTGCAGTTCTTTTTGCTCTCATTGTCTTATCCTTTATATATATTTTTTCTCTACTTCTAGACTGTAGGTTTCTTGAGGGTAGAATCTGTTTAGGATTCACCTTTCTACCCCACAGTTCTCTTCACTGTGTTGTACAACAGTAAATATTTACTGGAAAATACCTTTTGCCCTCCAGTCTGGTGACAGGGTCACGATGTTATTTAAAAGTAGAGTGAGCGTTTTTTGCAGGGTCGGAAAAATGGAAAGCGGTACAGGCTGACTTGGATTATCTACCAAGATGTGGAAGCTCTGAGAGTAGTGCTCCGGTCTGAGTAATGGTTCTGGCCTGTTTCCCTTAGCTGTGCAGGGCAACAATGAAGTATCCATGTGGGACATGGAGACTGGCGACAGAAGATTCACTCTGTGGGCTAGCAGTGCACCGCCTCTCTCTGAGTTACAGGTTTGCCTCCAGTTTTTACTCTAAATTTCCCACATCCCGAGCGCTTTCAGGCATTTTACCAAACCTTGTATCTGTTAGGCTTTTGGGTTGTGTTTTAAATTAGTATTAGGTGGCTTTCCTGTTCCTCAGGCTTACTAATGTCTGGGGGGTTTGGTTGCTAGCTCCGTAAGGTTTGTGAGGTCTGTGGAGCCCCAGTAAAAATCTGGGATAATTGGAACGTGACCCTCTTACCTACACTTTTTTCAGGTTGCCACCCCGGGTGCTTCATTGGGGCAAAAGGTAGGAAAGAGGTTTTTTCTCCTTTAGTTGGAGTCCTCCCAAATAGAAATAGAAAATGTTAAGAGGCTGAAGAGGTTTTGCCTCTTTATTCAGAATGATACAAAGCAAATGCATTTTAAGGTCCCAAAGAAAGTCGTCTAGAAGATATACATAAATGGTCTCTCATTTCTTCAGTTAATCAGGTGCCTGGAAAGCTGCTGCCAGTTGACTTGTTTCTAGAAATGGCGCCACTTAGGGAATACACTGGTATCTTTAATTTGATTCCTATTTCTTTCTTTTTAAAGCCCTCTCCTCACAGTGTCCATGGTATCTACTGTAGTCCAGCGGATGGAAATCCCATCCTACTAACAGCTGGCTCAGACATGAAAATAAGGTACAATATCTGATAACGGATACTTAACTGTGTAACACTTAAAAGGAGAAAGATAATATGTGGATACTCTGGTTAATACCACGGTATTATAAATGTAATGTTTAAAATCCTCCACATCTTGCAGGAATAGCTGTTAATACTTCATGTGTCCCTAATTTTATGCTATTCTACGAAAAATCTCTTTTCCTAATGCAAAAGAAAATAAGTTATGTATTGGTGAATGTAAGTTAATGATCATTAGTTCCTCCCCTTCTCCAGAGATGATCAGTATTCGTTTCATCTTCCCTAGGTTTTGGGACCTGGCTTACCCAGAGAGGTCCTATGTTGTTGCAGGAAGTACTAGTTCTTCGTCTGTGTCCTACTATAGGAAAATAATTGAAGGCACTGAAGTTGTCCAGGTACAAGCAGTCTTGTTTTCTTTCAACTTCTGTAGGCGCAAAAATGACTGGTAGTATTTAAGGAACATGTTTATTTTCTCTTGGCTTTTCTGTACTTTTTGAAATTCACTTTTATTAAGGTATAATAAACATACTGAAGGCACACACATAAGTACATAGTTTGAAGTAAGCACTTAATATACTTGCTCAGTCCTCACAACAATTAATAAGTACCTTTATTTTCCTTCTACAAATAAGAAAGTTAAGCACCATGAAGTAACTTATCTAAGATCATCCAGGTATTAGGCAGCAGAGCTGGGATTCAGTCCTGGTTGTTGGAACTCCAAAGCTTGTGTTCTTGAGTTGGGCAAAAACTTCAAGTGAGATAATGAATCTGAAAGTGCCTGGGTCTAGAAGGTGCTCAGTAAATGAATGAAAGCTTCCTTTATGATAGATTAATATTTACGTCAATATTCTGGTCATTTACACCCCTTTATTATAGGCTTTCCCTTTTTCCTTTTGATAGGGACAAAAGGTAATACAGAAAATTTATAAACAAGCCAAGAATCTGTACATATTTATAAGTGGCTACTCGTGGAAAACACAATATCATTTTGGACTCTTTACTCAGTTTGTGAAAGGTTGACTACTTCACAGGAAGTTTTAGCTTTAACGACAACAGCCTGTCCCAGAAGCAACAATATTGAGAAGAGGTACAATGTGGTACAGGCTTTTAACCTCTGGCTTTCTCCCTTTTTTTTCCTCCCTGACTTTTAACCATGAAACAGGAGATCCAGAATAAGCAGAAGGTAGGACCAAGTGATGACACCCCTCGGAGGGGCCCAGAATCTCTGCCTGTGGGACATCACGACATCATCACAGATGTGGCCACCTTCCAGACAACACAGGGCTTCATTGTAACTGCATCTAGAGATGGGATTGTTAAGGTGTGGAAATGAAAACCTAGTGGTTTGTATAATATGTAATAAAGTTATATGTATACTGTAACTTGAGAGCAAAGGTATTTTTAGAGGACAGAAGTGAAATTCATTTCCTTTTCAAAATTATGTCTGTATATTACCGTTTCATGATTAAACAGATCCCCTCCAGGGTGGTTAAGGAAGTTGCACTCAACTAATATACTCATGCATATCTCTGCAGGAATCGGCCAGACAACAGTATCTGGGACTTTTTATTGTATAGGTCAAAGAGGTGAGGAATTTAAATTGCTAAGACATATTTTACTTTGTATTGAAAAAGATGATTGTAAGCTATTACAATGTAAACACATTTTTGCTATTAAAAAAGTGCTATTCAAACCAGCCAATAAACTGTATTCAGGCATCTTAAGGGTTTTTTGTTTTTGTTTTTGTTGGTGTCTTAAACAGTAAACTTGAGCAGAAGAATAAACTCCTCGGCAGTATTTGTTCTGAAGAAATGGACTCAGTGTCACAAAGAAGTAGGCCTTAGGCCCACATTTCTGGACTCAGTATTTTGTTCTTTCTGCTTTATCGTGTCTTTCTTCCTGTTTTATAGTCGTCTGCCTTATTATTTAACACTAGAACTGATCTGTGTATCGGCCCTCGAAAAATGTCTCTCCTTGGTCATCATCATTTTTTATAGGCTGTACTATAAATTCTGAAACTTAGCCCATCAGCTTGCTTTTATCCAGTGTCAGTTATTAAATGCATGAAAAACAAAGAAAAGGACTAAGCTGTTAAAAACATGCCAAACATTACACTTTTGAAGACCAAAATTGGCCTTTCCCACAAAATAAACCCCTCAAGCTTATCAATTATTATTTGTACATGAACCTAATTGTCTCTTCACATTTGTCATCCATTTGCTAAAGGGTTTATGGTGTTTAAGATACTTCATTTTTAAATTAGTTACATGAGTCTGTAAACCAAAAAGTTAAGTAGATAATCTGCCTCTGGGGGAAAATAGTACTTTAAATTTGCAAATTTAATTTTCTGTAATTATATGATTCAGTTATGGTACATGACAGTTTGCAGTACATAGGTCTGACTTCACGATTCAGTGCACTTAGTTTTGTGTTTACCTGTCTAAACTCATCAGAAAACCCTGTCATTCACAGAGCCCTGAGTTAGAGGAGTCTGGACCTTGACAAGGCTAGATAGCTGGTGGAACAGTAGGATTTGCAAATTTGACATTGTCCTGTTACATTGCATCTGCTTCCCTTCGTGTCTGTTAAGACCATATATCCAGAGTTTCTAGCTACGAAGTCAGATTTTGTTCTGCAGAGGTTGGAGGTCACTTGTTTGAGACAAACCTTTGGACTGAGAAGGGCTTCAAGCCTGGAAGCTTAGCGAAGCCACATAACTGACAAAACATGCTGAGGGGAAAATGGAGTGGGCCAGTGGAGATGTAATTCCTTTCTCCCCTTATCTTCCTGCCATCCATTCCTCTTCCCACTTAAACTCCCCTTTTAGAAAAGGGGGTCATTTGGTTGAATTGTTACTGAGTATTGCAATCTAAGACCATGTTGAGTTGCATCTTTTTTTTGACTTTTTTTTTTTTAAACATGTTTGACTCATAGCTTAGTGCTGAGATAATAGGAGGCATGTCCTTTATAGTTAATTTACATGTTTAAACCAGGAAGCACTACTGCTTATTTGTGTGATTCTCGGTTTAAATAGGGGTTTATTTAATTTACATTCAAATTTTTACGGCTTTTCCCTTCTAGAGAAAGAGGTAAACCATGGGAAATGCTAAAATTAGGGATTTTAAAAAAGGAACTTAACATTTACAGTATGTTTCAGACCCTTCATCTGTTAAGGATTAAAAAGACCCAAAATGCTAAAATAATCTCAATTACCAAGGGCAAAAATTTTTGGTGTATTTTACTTATCAATGCAGAAAAAATAGACAAATACATTCTTAAAGTATTTCTAGCAGTAAACAGGAAGAGCTTTTGCTTAATCCAAAGTTAACCAGAAAAATCCCTTTTATTAAAATACCTCTTAAATATTGCTCAATTTCATTCACTTGAAACATAAATTTTTCCTGAACCCCTAAGAACCGCTTAGGATATGAAGAAACCTGATGTGCTGTCTTCTCCTCTGTTTCCTGAGTATGAATATGACATTTTAACTCCTTGCCCTTCTGAAGACATTGGGAGCTAACTCTATGCAGTTGCCTGAGTAAGGATGGCAGAAGTGGTTTTAAAACACAGTGGAGATGGCCTTTCTTTCCTAGCTTTTATAAAGAGAGATATAGAAAAGAAAATCACCTACTGGTCTAAGGTGCCAGTAGCCATCTGCCCCATGCATCCAAGCAGGGTCTCCCTCGCTGAAGAGAGTGATGTTCTGCCAAGGAGGGCCATTGCTACCAACTCTGGAGCCAGCTCTGGGAATTTGAGGTAAGGTACAAACATTGTGTCTAAATTAAATAATGCTAATTTGGTCTTTAGTTGTTGAAAATATTAGCCCATCATAAGATTAAGAATTAGTTTTGTGATCTGGAGGTAGGAGGGAGCAAGCTGTCAGAATGCTCTTGGAGGCTAGGCATTTGGAATGCCTAGCTTTCCTGCTTTAACTTACTCTCATCTCTGTACAGCTCTGCAACCCCAAATGGATTTGTGGATTAAAACATTAACAACTTTATCTTTTCCAAACTCAATATGCATTTAAGACTCTATTTAGATCTTGGTCAGTCCTGTTTGATACTGTTCACTATTGACTAAATAGCTACCTGATGGGTAAAAGTTAACTCAGCTTTACCCATGACCAGTTGTCTTTACTCTCCTTGTCTAAAGAATATATGGATTAGTGAAAAATTATATATATATAACAATAATGGTAAAGAATAAAAGTCCATCAAAAGAGCCAGGCAGGAGGCTGTATATAATGAGGGAACTTCTAGCTCAAAAGCAATTATTTATGTTTTGGAGGAATTAACAAGTTTCTCAGTGAATTAAGGAGGAATTGGAGCAGAGAAAATTACTCTCTGCTTCTTACCTGTCCAAGCAAACAACTGCAGAAAGTGGGAGGAGACCTTCCAGCATAAGCCTATCAGAAAGCTGGACACTCCACACAGAGACAGTGATGTGTTTAAATGGTATCAGGGAAAGCCAAATTATCAAAATTATGACATATAAGCATCAATTTGTAAATGTAAATTTTGGGGTTTTTCAAAACATTAACCTTTGGTTAAACAGATGAGCATTAAACAGTACTAGAGAATGAAACCTTGGTTCGCAGAAAGTGGACTGGACAGAGACCTGCAATCAAAAGAATTAGCATTGGCTCATGTATATACTATTTAAAATTTACCTTCAGATTATATCTCCATTGGACTTCTTAGAACACTTCTTTCATTCTTCCATCTTTTAATGATAACAGTTCTTGAATGTATCAGAGTGCTGGAATTATGAGAAGTGCTCAAAGAAATGGACAAGATCGATCTTAATACCAATGAGTGCAAGGGATCAAATTGCCTGATAATCTACAACCTGTGTTTTGTCCAGCCCTCCAGAGTGGACGTCTGGATACGGGTGGATATCCAAATAAAAGTTGCCCATAGTTATGGCAGTGAATTGAGTTACTTAAATCCAGAGTCTTACCATGCTTCCTAAGGCTAAATTCTTAAAGCACTTCCTTTATCATGTTGTTTTGGAGCAGCTTTTATCACCTTTTTTCCATTTTTAAAGGTATGGAATGTGTTTCTGGTAAGATTTTGAATAGTATCTCTGCTGTCTCTTGCTACTCTTGAAAGATACTTTTTATCTTGAAAGAACTTTGCCTTCTGTAATGCATCTTCTTTGAAGGTAGTTTTATATGGTCCAGGAACAAAACTGTACAAGAGAAGAGAAACATCACAGAAGATAAATACCATTTAAACTTTAATAGACTATATTAATTCTGTCTTCCTAAATGTTGTCCCCATTCCTTGTTGCATCCTTCCTTCAGGGTAATTTTATTAAGACTATAAAATGAGATTTACACTGGCAGATACATCAGAAGTTGAGACTGAGACATAAGGTATTTTGTCAAAATATGCAAAATCATTTCAACAACAAAGTTCCTTCTTCATAGAACATGTTCCACCCAGAACTTCATATAGTTGGCTTCTTCTGATTATTCAGGTCAGAGGTCAAATAGTACACCTCATTAGAGACTGCTACATCTATAGTTTTCCCAGTCTACAGTCTCCTGGTTGCTCAGCACAATATGCTCATTTTTCTCATAACATATCACTGTCTGAATTTTTATTTACTTATCAATTTCTTTAAGATCTGTTCTCTATTCTACCCTCCCAGACAGAAACCCAGACAGAAAATTTCACAAGACCATGTCTGGTAATCATAGCAATCCCAGGAATCTTAGAAGAGCATATGGTAGATACTGAATAAACATTTATGAATTGTTGAACACTACATCAAAAACTAATATGTTGGCTAACTGAACATAAAAAAAAAAACCACAATTATCTAATGAAAACATGAGTGAATGCCACTCCCTTCTTCCCTCTCTCCCTCTCACCCATCCATTCTTCCGTCCTTCTGTCTGTCCATCTATCCATCCATCCAAATGTTGACTCACTATGGAAGGCACTATGTTATGTATAGTGGGGGACACAGAAATAACGCCCAGTCTGGCAGGCACATAAAGAGTTTGTCAACAGTAAAGGACAGCTGGGGACAGACTCTGGAAGGCCAGAATGCCAGATTGATAGGTCAAGGAATCATAGAAGCCAAGTGCTGACTGAAAGTCCTAACCTAGCCAATAAAACTGTGCTGGTGGAAATGTCCTATAATCTTCATGGACCAGTATGGCAGCCACTAGCTACATCTACCTATTGAGCACTTGAAATATGGTTAGTGTGACTGAGGAACAATTTATAATGTCATTTAATTGAAAGCTAGTGGTTACTGTATTAGCGCAGGAAGGGAGCCATTTCAGACAACCTTATTTTACAGGGAGGTGGTAGAAAGAGCTTTAAGTCCATAAGCATTCTTCTATTCAAGCTGCTCTACTTACTGGCTGAGCAGCTCCGAGCAAATCACTTAACTAGAGTGATCCTTGCATCTTCAGGTTTTAAATGGGAATAAATACCACCCATGTTGTGAGCAACATTCAAAATCCCCTAGACTAATTACCATGGTGCTCTGTTGCTTACAGATGAGGAAACAGACTGCATGTAGAGGTGAATATCAGGGACAGAACTGAGACTATAACCCAACCCTCTTAAGAGCTTGGTGTTACTTCCATTGAACTTGTTTTTTATTTGGGACACCATGGAAAACTATCAAGATAATTATTTTTTAAAAGATTTTATTTATTTGAGAGAGCGCGCGCATGAGAGAGCACAAGCAGGGGTGGGGGAAGGGCAGGGGGAGAGGGAGAAGCAGACTCCCTGCTGAGCTGGCCGAAGGCAACCGCTTAACTGACTGAGCCACCCGGTGCCCCAACTATCAAGATATTTAGAATAGGAAAGTGAAATGAAAAAGGTCATGCTATCAGGAACACCTGGATATGGGTGCAGAACCACAGGAAAGCAGATGGCCTGGGGCAGGTTGGACAGTTAAGAAGGTATGAGGAGCTTGGCACATAAGCTCTTTGTAAATATTTTTAGAATGAATGTGTGAGAGCCTAGTGGCATAAGAAGAGTAGGTTTATCAATACTGATAAATCTCAAACATTTGCTGAATTGTGGTCAAGGGAAGAGTCAAGAGAACTCCAACACATTGACATCAGAAAAACAGTGCCAGTATTCACTACAATCCATTTCTTCATATTTGGATTTTTCTGCTTTTACCAGCTTTAAATCTGCTCTCTCACGAAAACAAAAATATTTAGAAAATAAGTGAAAGATAAATTAAAATTAGTTCACTTCTTTCTCTCACACATGACATACATGCATATTTGTGCACATACACACACTCCACATATTCCTTTTGCCTCTATAATGAGACCTAGAAGCAAAGGAGACATCAAATCAACAAAGAACCATGCCATTATATACTATATGTCTGGGCTTCTGAAACTCATATCCCAAAGTATATCTCCATTCACTTCCATCAGTGCTATCTGGAATATAGCAAGTTGATCAACAAACTTCTCCCAGTTACCAAGAAAGCTAAATTTTAGTGCAAATACAATTTCTCACACCTCCCATTTTTGCTCTATTTTTTTATTTCTAGAACTAAATATTAGGAGCTCAAATTCTCCAAAGTCATAATTGTTTATACACATAGAACAGGGCTCCACCAATCATGGAGAATGTATTTTTTTTAATTTATTTATTTGAGAGAGAGAGAGAGTGAGAAAGAGAGCACAAGAGGGGGTAGGGTCAGAGGGAGAAGCAGACTCCCTGCCAAGCAGGGAGCCCGATGTGGAACTCGATCCCAGGACTCCAGGATCATGACCTGAGCCGAAGGCAGTCGCTTGTCCAACTGAGCTACCCAGGTGCCCTGAGAATGTATTCTTTTGAGTCTGGATCACACCATTTTCATGTCTTGGGTTCCCCTTCCCCAACTTCCCCCTTTCCATTGGATCCTTTTTATGATAAGTTATCCTTGTTATCTTCCTCCCTCTCTCTGTTAAGAAAAAGCTGCTAAACTGATAAGTATGACATTGCTATCTTTTTTCCCCCTCAAATACTTTTATTCTCAAAAGGTTGGAACATGATAAATATCGTATCTCTGAACTTTTTTTTCACTGTTGTACACAGGAGCTTGTATTTGATAAGCATTTGGTAAGAATCATTTGATTACCCTGTTTGGGAACCATATAGAATTTGTTTTTCCTTTTATTCCATATTGCTAAGCTACTTCTTTACTGATTGGTAACTCCAACAATAGGTAGTCAAGATAAAGAAACAGGAATGAAATATAGCCGATCATTTTGCATCTTGTGCCTAACTCCAGGAAAGCTTGTGGAAAGATATGGCGGCTAGACAAAATGAGGTGGGTAGGACTCTGTAGATTTCAGTTCTCAGTGATCACAGATTCCTCCATCTATGCAGATAATCAGGAGTCAACTATGCTGCATTAACTAGTTGACTGGATGCACTGGAGTAGAAAACGCAGACAAGATTGCCTCTATTTTGAGAATCCTTTTCAATAGGCATTTTGTGTGTCTAAAAAACATACTTTGGAAGGTAGAATTACAACAGATGTATTATTCATATGGCATTGGTGACTGTGCCCATTTTTTACAATTTGATTGTTCTGGCTCTGGTCTATCTGCGCTTGAAGTCTGGCACAAGAGCTTCCCTGCCTGGATGAAGCAATAAGCAGGTGCCTTTCTGTCTTTTATTGTCTCTGAGCGGAACTAAGCGCTTACAAAGAGGCTGCCCTACAATCGCACCCTTACTGGCCATCTGTCTCCTTGGTTGCTTGTGTTCAATTCCTTTCTTTTCTATCTGATAAGAACCAGCTTCTACCTGTATTTCTCAAAATCTCACAGGGGAATGATCTAATTCTTATGCAAGTCATTCTGAGGCTTGGCAAGTCATCTTTATGGCCAGGCATCCTGCCTAGCAGGCATTCTCAGCTCCCTCAATTATGTGCTCAATTCTGCCTCACTTCTCTTGAAAGGCTCAGGCAGGGAGTTTCAGAAGCAGCTGTGTGGCTTGTTACCTTTTATTATGGTCTTCGGTCACTTAGAGAAGGCCTGGGGTGTCCTAGGCTAAGGAACCATCAGGGAGCCCACTAACAGTGGTATGGATTTCATGTCTCAATTCCTGATGTCCCAGCCATTTCCTGTCATTTCCCTGTTTCGGATACATAGGAGAAGCTGAGCCTCCAGGATAGCTGGGCAATGTGAAGAAGGGGAAGAAACATCCTGTCAAAGAGTACTGTGAATCCCCTCCACTCATATTGATCTTTAGACAAAATGTATGGTAGGAATAGTTTCCAGAAATGTCTTTTAATTTGTATAGGCTGGCTTCAGTATCTGCCTCTGGCAGTTATGGCCAGCTCCATAATATGTGGAGCCCAGTGCAAATGCAAATGGGAAGCTCCTTTCCATGCTGCCAGACACCTGCAGCAGGGGGAGCCCTGCTCTTTGAGGACCGACTGCACGGGCCTGGTATAGGCCTGAGTTCAGGAAGCATTTGCTGCTGGACAGTTCCCTGCTTCCCAGCAAGGTAAGGAGATTTGAGGCAGAGGCTTCTCAGTTTCTGGAGCTGGGGCATCTGGATTGAGAGTGCCTCTCTGGCCCTGATCACCACACAGAAATGAGGACACTGCACACTAAAAGTAGGCACACACTATCCAAGGCATTTGCCTAAGTGTGATTCCCATGGGCTGGTACACATTTGATTTTACTCAGATGTGGGGTGCACATGCGTGTGTGGTAGTACAGCATGATTTTCCACTGAAACACTCTCCTAACTACAATTCTAATTCAAAAAAAAAAAAAGGTAAGTAATGTTCATACATGCCAAAAATAGATATGTGTATGATTAAGTTTTAAAAGAACTTTTGCCAGATTGGGATCATTCCCTGTATATTTTTGGACCACAATGCTTTGAAACTAGAACTCAATCGCAAGAGGAAAGTCAGAAAGAACTCAAATACATGGAGGCTAAAGAGCATCCTACTAAAGAATGA